TTATAAAAGAATGTAAATATTTATACTTTCCCACATCATTTTCGATGTATGCAGAATGTATGCGGGAACGAATTTCAAAATATCTTAATATTTCATTTTCGGTTTCGGCTTCGGTTTCGGCCGAAATTCATTTTTAATCTTCGGCCTTTTTTCGGTTTCGGCCGAAAGTCATTTTTAAAATTTCGGCCTTTTTTCGGTTTCGGCCGTAAGTCATTTTAAACTTTCGGCCTATTTTCGGCTTCGGCCGAAATCAGAAAATCACTTTCGGTCGGTCTCTACTTGAAACAGTTGAAGAAACTAAAATGTACAGATCTCATTAAAAATATTGGTAGCAAAAGTGAAATGTCACAACAAACAATTTTGTAAGTTGAATACATTTCTAAAAATAAAATGTTTTTTTTAAGAAACTTAAGTTATATATTAATGTAGTATTGGAATGATTGAATTTCATCAAGCTCAGAACTCGTTCTAAGCCCCCTTTGTTCATAAGCACACTCCCTTGTTTTTGGATTGGAAAAGCCTGAAAAAGTAGAGCCTGCTCAAAAGCTGACCCCATAAAATTATAAATCATAAAATGTTCAGTAAGCTTTATAAAGTTTCACAGCATTCAATTAAAGAGCAAACATGTTCATGATAATAATATACACCACAAGTACGAGTTTTTTTACATGAAAGAGCATGTACCGTAAAGATATATAATTCCCTCTAAATTAATTCTAACATGAGTTATCACTTTGAAAAGCTGAATTTATCACAAAAAAATTTGGAAAAAAATACCTTAAATAGATAAATATACATAATTATATTATAATATTATTAGGAAGTATTTTTAGATTTACCTAAAACTTAATAAAAGCTTGAGTCCCTCAGGTTTGAAGAATATACATTTATTAAACATAAAGCTTTGTTTTAGAATAGCTGAGAAAGATGAGACATCAGCAAAATCAGTGAAGCAGATCCATTTCTAACATGTACAAACAAAGAAATATGAAAATACATAAGCATAATTATAAATTCAATATTCACAAATCAGATGCAATGTTAATTATTTATTTTTACTTCAACAAAAAACTTTTTTTGTTTACATGAAATTTTTTAGCAGTTGTTTTAAATCCACCAAGATTTAAGAAAACAAAAACAATTTTCCTTAACTACAAAGGCACTTGTTTTTAAAAAAATAAAATACATGTGAAGATCATAAAATTATTATTATTTTTTTTTAAAATTGACTACCGGTATACAAATATTCTTAAAAAATATAAACTTACTTTTTTAAATATTACATTGATATACAAGTTAAGTTAAAGTTATAAAAATCAGATAAAGAAACGGGAAAAAGGTTGAGAAAAGGGCAGTGAGTAGGTCTGCGTTTTCAATGTTTCCTAGATCCATTCCTCTGAGAAATAACAAAAGATCCCTCAATCATGATTTAATTAAATCAACATTTTTGTTTCACAAAGAGGCTTAATATGAATATTTAAAAATAGATATCTGACAGATCTACACTTAGAAATTTAAAGACAAGTTTAAAAAAAAAAAATTTACCTTATAATTAAAAAAAGTATACATTTTTAAAACTTAGTCTATAGTTTGTACACAGACAAAAATAAGAAATATTTATTGAAGCAGTGATTGTGATGTTGATAATAGCTAAGAATAATTAAATAAAGAAATATTCCGAATTCTGACAGTGCCAGAATTTAAAATTTAATATTCAAAGATGTTAATCCTACTCACAAATTTTGTGAAAAAGTTTTCGCCTCCTAGTTTTTTATTCTCATGGTTAATCTCCAATAAATAACTACCGTAATAATCTTTTCATACTTAAGACTGGGCAAGAATTATAATGATATTCACAAGAAACAGAGAAGGATGATTAAATATTATATGTTTAATTTCACCACAAACATTTAAATCAATCAAATGCAACCCCCCCCAAAAAAAAATAAAAAATAATCAAACATTAACATATGATTTTAAAGTTTTCAAAAGATTTACATGAAGTTTTAAGTAGGACTTAAGTAGTTCACATAAATAATAAATGTATCCTCTCTATCTGTCTTTCTGTCTGTCTGTACCCCTCACCCATATTTCATTCAAACAAATCAGTGCAGACAAACAGTTTCTAAGGGAGCTAATGGAACTAAATCTTAATCAGATGGGTTTTGTAGAGAGTGGCTTAGAGAGTATCCATGGTACAACTTTACAACAAGCCAAAGCTTAAATAGCTCAATGTGGAAATGGTTGCGGTGTGCGAAGATAAAAAAAAAATGTAACTCAACTGAATTAGCATACCGGCATTACTGGTACAGCAAATCATTAATAAAATAGGCCTAAATATTTTACACTGTTTGGAAGATATAAACTGGTAGTATGCAAATATAATGTACACAAATTTAGAGTATAAAAAATGGAAAAGAAACCAGTCTTTTCTCGAATTTAAAAAAAAAAATGATTAGAGAGTTGTTTGTGCGATTTACCTTAAAACCAAATTCAGAGACTTCAGATGGTACAAAATACTGCGGCATGCATTATACCACGTATAAAGAAATCTAACCACATCACCCCAGTTCTTAAAGATCTCCACTGGCTTCCTGCTAATGAGCCCATTGACCACAAAATTCTGCTCCTGACATACTGATGAATAGAGGGCTCTGCACCTGCATATCTACAAAAACTTATTTCTAAAATTGTTTCCATACAGAAGTTGCGCTCTTCAACACAGTCCTTACTGAGAATTCCCAGTGTGGATTGACACAGAAAGAAATCATACAGAGTGCGCTCTTTTGAAGCTACAGGACCTAAGTTATAACAGTTTACCCCAATCTTTAAGGGAATTTGAAAATGATAAAAAGTCATTTAAGAAACTTTTAAAGACTTTTTACTTTGAATAGATTTTAGGACATCAGAACGCTGTGAGCATGCTAAAATAGCATTGTTACAAGCGCTATAAAATATATTAATGTACCGGGTAACCCTATTTTGGGCATTACAAATTAATTAGACAAAAATATTTTCATATTCAAAATTATCTTAATGTTACAGCACCATAGCTTTTAAATACCCGGTAGTTAAGTTTACAGGGGCTACTCAAGGGTTTAGTGAGATATCTATTTGCCTAATTAAAAATATATCTTTAAAATCATGTGTTTCTGTGTAAAAATCTTGCTGAAGAAAATGCAGCACTTTTACTTTATTGTTAAGTATTATATACCTTTTATATAAATGGAATGCCCCAATAGACACCAGGTTGTGTCGAATGGTCACAAGAAGTAGGAAGAAAGTCATAACTCAAATACTTTTTTGATATGTTCAATGGCTGTTGAATTTTAAAATACTATTAAGTGCTAACAATAAATTCATGCAGCGTTTTTTTCTGTAAAAAATTTCTAAAATTAAAATTATTAGAAACCCTGAGTTATAAGTTAATGAAATGTCAATTTTCATTCACGATAAGGTGATTTCAGGGTAATTTTATGGCTAAAAGGAATATTTGATAGAAAAAAAAAATGTTTTCCTCAGTGATCTGATACGTTAGATCATACCTTTACTTGTTTTCCTCAGTGATCTGATACGTTAGATCATACCTTTACTTGTTTTCCTCAGTGATCTGATACGTTAGATCACACCTTTACTAAAATAAAAAATATGACCAAACAGCTGGGGCCTCAAATAAAACAGTGAGGCGACCGATTAATTTTCACCACTGACCGCTTGCCGCTGTCTGAGCTGTTCAGCCTGGACAAGAACATGATTGCCGAGAAGTCGCACGTCCCCATCATCTTGTTGGGGTGGGACCTCTGCCCCGTCAAGGACCATTCTTACATCAGGGTAATCGGTTCCATTCCCATCGTGATCAGCGTACGTATTGCAACCTATGATCTCTTCTGGTTGGTCACCCGCAGGTGCTTGTGCATTGTTCCCATTATCCGGAGGAAAAAAGGGATCTTGGGCATTGGGGTCAACCCTGTCCCCACACGAACCAAAGGGGATAACAAGGATGTGAGAGTAAATTAAGACCCCGATTGGGATGACACAGAGTCCCGGGACCTGGAGAAAAAACATTTATGATTAACATAAATTAAATATTAAATTTATATATGATATTATAATCTTGAAAGCTTACTAATTACAGTGTATTCAATTAAATAAAACATTATTTTTATCATGGTTGTGAAGTCAATATCTTTATCTTCTCTTGCATTGAAATAAGCGTTTATTCCAAACAGTTGAATTAATAAAGTAATATGAAAACTTAGTTATAACCCATGGGTGCCACTCACTGAAAGCTGTGACCCTGAAATATAACCCTTTTCCTCAGCTTTTTCCTGAGTTAATTAAAAACTATGTAATGTAATATTTATATACTCAGTTGGGTGGATTTCAAGAAAAAACATTTAGATTCAGGATCTATTATATCTCTATGGATCTTTGTCAGGCAACAGGGCTACATCTCAGAACAGTGTAACAGATCTTGTCAGACAACATGACTACATCTCAGTAGAGTATAAAAGATCTTGTCAGACAACATGACTACATCTCAGTAACAGATTTGGCAACAGTCCCAGATAAATATGTTATGCAGAAAAGGATGTTGCGAAGGACACGATTTGGCCCTCTCCCCGACTGTGAGATGGAAAATTTTCACCCATGTTTAAAAGTGAAGTCTAAAAATGGAGCCCCCCTCCCCCAAACTTTATAAATAAATGATACCCACTCTGATATTTTTATAATTCAACTGTTTTGGTAGAGTGAAATGACAATTTTGTCACCTCTGATGTTGCTACTGACACAACATGTTCTACACCAGATGTTTCAGATGATCACAGGCTCAAAAACCTACCTGACCAATGAAAAAGTCTTCCCACTTCAGGGCAAGGGAGATGCCCCAGAAGAATGCCCAAATCAGTGTTTCAATCATGATCCTGGGCAGTGCACCCTGGTCACGGATTAAAAACATGCCCAGATATGTGTACAGGAGGTAGAAAATGAGTGAACCTGTGGATAATAGGAAACATTATTCATTAAACATCTTCATCCCTTAAGATGGGGTTATTCACTTCCTTCTTTGTTAAAAACAGCATGTGAAAGTTACAAGCAGAATGGAGTAAGAAGAAATTCTTCAGAATGAACTTTTTATTGTTTTGAATTGAGATTAATGACTTGATAAAGTAATGATTTTTCTTGCAACTATAAATAGGAAAATCTATTTTTAGAGAAATAATCTCAAATAGTAAATATAAACAATGTGTTGAGGACTAATCTCAAATAGGAAATATAAAACCAATAAAATGAGATGAAAAAAAAAATAGAATTTGCTTCCTTTAGTTGGGACATTATAAAAATTTTAATCAGGGGAGATGGAAATTTAAGCTCAGGGCCATTTAGAAGTTACTTTAATAAAAGTCTTAATTAATAAATATTTTGAGTGATAGTCACATTTATGCAAGTTAGGAAGTTTCGTCGACTAAAAGTTTAAGCTTTCAAGAATCTTTTTAAAAAAATATTCTTTGCATGCAATTTTGGCACATGTAGAACAGAGGCTTATATATGGCTTATATATTTCTCAAACGTTTTGTACTGAAATTTTCTTGAAATTTTCATAAATTAATGTTTAAAATTGATGCTGTAAGATGTTTATAGGTTGGCAAACTAGATTATCCTTACCAGAAAAGGCCAAAGAACATTCCCAGGAGTTGTGGAGTTGGTACAAGGCATCCTCAACATCCTCCATCCTGCCATTGGGCAGGTAGCTGTACTGGACCAGATCCAGCAAATTGAACAGAGCAAAGAACAGACCGGCAAAGAAGACTCCGTAAACAGCTGAATAAAAAAAGAAAAAAACAACTAAATAAAGTGAATGATCCTTTCTGGCAACATATGAGACATTAACCATCAACCTGGGCAGTCAGCTCGTTTATCTCACTGGTTTGGGGGGTACAACAGTAAAAGTCTCATCTGGATATTTTGATTTGTTTAAGATTCGAACCCCAGATCATCTGATTGCTTGGCATTTGGTCATTTGTTGATTGAAAAAAGAATCAGAGCATGCATTTATTGACAATTACCTTCAGCACCCAGGAATAGCATAGGATGGATAGAGTGTTTCCTAATGAACTTCTCTTCATAGATGATCTTGGTGGCAAACATGATTTGTGACATGACAATCAGCAGGTCACCTAAAAATATTTTTTAAAAAAACCAATTATGGTTAACACAAAATTCAACAAAATTACATTTGGTGACTGAAAATTCAGAAAAAAAATGAAATGCCAATTAATAACCTAAAGGAAATATAAAACACAGGGTTCAAACAAAACAATGAGCAAGTAAGCAAAAAGTAGTTCTTTAGCAAACAAAAGCTGCAGGTTTCCCCTACCCAAAGTTTCATCTATTCTGATTGCAGTCCTGCCTTTTAATCTGAACAAGTTCTAAAACAATTTATTTACTTTCCGTCATATGTTTCTTTCCTCCAAAGAATGCAGTATCTTCATAACAAATTAGACAAAAATTTCTGGACTGACCTGCAGCGATGCCATATTTTTCATAACCGCCTGATGGGACGTGGATGTAGTCTGAGATTCCAGACACAGCAAACCCCAGGGTAGCCACAATGACACCAAACCAAACATAGCAGGCAAGCTGCTGGGCTAAAAATGCCATGGCCAGGAGGGCTGTGAAAAATGCCACTGTCCCTGTTGATGGGGAAAAATGTCTCTAAATTGCCATGTAAATGTAATTTGTTGCACAGTTTAAAGTAGCGTTTTCAAATTTAAATCTACCATGTAAATATTAAAAAAGAAAATGGCTCCTTCCATCCCATTTTTTATAAAATAATATTTTGCCAAAATTGTACAATTGTTTTGTTTAATTGTTCGGTTGGTCCTTCATTACAGAATGTGGCCGTGTTCTTGCCAAGTCAGCTTATTATTACTGGTGACACCTAGGTACTTATATGACTCTACTTGCTCTATATGGTGACACCTAGGTATTTATATGACTCTGCTTGCTCTATAATGGGATTATTGATTGTAAGATCTGCAATTAGATGATATCATTGGTATAAATCGTATCGGGGAGAGGACACAACCTTGTGTCACTCTGGTACTCACTTAATTAATTAATAAAATGTAAGCAGTTTGGAAACCAAAGTTTTACATTATAAAAAAATTAGAAATAAAGTATCTCCTGCGACCAGTTATGGAAATCGTTAATGCATATTTAATTAACTGTAATCAATTAAAAAGTTCCTTCAGAGGGCAGAGAAGCTTCATAACAAAGCTATGATGTGGGTGGTACAAACAAAAGCATCTAGAAAAGAATGTGTGTACCCATTTAAATTGATTATTTTCTTTATCATTTACACATTTTAAAAAATTTTCTAATTTATTTAATTTTATTGTTTTCTTAGTTAGGACAAAAAACCTTGTTGTTATTTGTGTGGGAAGAATCGCATTCTTAATTGTGAAAACTCATTAAAAAAAGTGACGTACCTTTCAGCATGATAAAGCTCGATGGGTAGGTTAGCTTCATGCCAAAATACAACAGCAAAACAGAAGCCTGCGCAAAGAATGCTGCTGGGAAATAAACAAGCAGGGACGGTTTTTTGGGCCTGTTCGGTCTACGAACTGGCTCGATTAAAGGTTGACGATCGTTGTCATTCACTAAACCTTCATTTATGAGACCTTCATTACAATTGGCATTTTGTTCTCCTTGAGCATCCGGCATATCATTAATATCCAGCAATGGAACTGGGCGGTTTTGTCTACCTGTCATTTGAGAGATATTTAAAATTTTCAAATGATAAAAACAAGCGAAAACAAATGGGAGAAATATTGTTAGCAAAAAATAAATATAACTTTTGATGACTATTCACAATTTTATGAAAATTTATGATATAAAAAAAGGGTAAATTTACACTTTTATTCTTCAGTAACTCAGTTTTGAGGATTGGAAGATTAAAAAAAAAAAATGAATCATACAAGATACAAAAAAAAATTAATAAAACAAAATATGTACTTCAATGTAGATCTAATTATAAAAAATGTTTATGAAGTCCCCCTCCTCCATACCTTCACCTAGTTTTGGTCATATTTTACATTTCTAATGTCATTGACTCCATGGGTTAAAGTTCTGACTTTTTTAAAGACCAAATGATTGGGGAAGCTGTTTAATTGGGACCTAAAATAACATCAAGAAATAGATTCTCTCTTTTTAAGTTGGATAAAGTGAATAAAATCTTTGCCATCAGTAAAAAGTATATCTGGCAGTGCATCAAGTAGGTGCACAGTATATCAGGCAGTGCATTAAGTATGTGCACAGTATATCTGGCAGTGCATTTTGATTAGATAAAACGGTAGGTGGGAGGGGAAAATGGAGAGATGGAGGCTCCCTTGATAATCCCATGGTGTGAGGATTAAGAGGTGCAAAAGAAAGACCCTTTGACATGCTGCTGACACCATCACATCAGTTTGAAGTAATTTTATTACATGTGTGGAAAAATGATATAAAACATAGGATAAGTCAAAATTGGACTAATTCTGTTTCATCCATACTGTGGAATCAGATAATGGCCAGAAGGCAATTATGAGCTATAATGAATTTAGAGTCTGTCTCAAGCCATTGGGAAAGGATGTTAAGAGCAAACTAAGAATTTTAAGTACACCAAATATTTACCTCTTTGTTGCACTTCTCCATGTCTGAAATGTCCAAATCCTAAAATATTTCGTTCAATGAGGTACCACAGGGGAAGAAGAAGAAGCTGCAGGATCTGCTTACAAAACCACTGAGGAGAGGAAAAACAACATAATTTGACTAACAGGTTGTATAAAAACATAAAAAAATAACAAAAATTAAGAAGAAACCATTCATATGTGCAATTTTAATTAAATAAATTTGGAATCAAAAGACGTCTGGAGAGAAAACATTTCATTACCAATATTGCCATTAGGGAATGAATAATGAATTAGCAAAATTAAATCATACAGACTTGGTGAGATTTAGCAAGGTTCTTCACAGTCAAAACTTAACAGAAACTGCCTTTATAGTAATTATAGTCAAAACTTATCAGAAACAGTCTTTACAGTAAAAACTTACCAGAAGGATTAAATGATCAAATAAATGTGGTTTTCTTGTTGGTTTTCCTGGAACGCTAAGACTTTGAGGCCATCTGGAAAATATTATCATAAAATTCTTTACTTTCTGAATGCAATTTATTTTTATTTGTAAGCCTTGAATTTTCCTAAAAAAAAAAAAACCACCAAGATTTGGTTGAAATTTAATGTGGTTAATAGGAAATAGTTCAAATAGTAATGCCTGGACTATTCAAATAAATTGGCTGTCATCCATTTTGGTCATCAAAATTAAAGAAAGGTGGATACAAATAATAAAATACAATCATTTCTGAGTGTCTCATGCTGGGTTTTTTTTTACACTAGAATTTTAAAAATTACTTTTATTTAAAATCATAAATAAGCCCAGTGTCCATACTTATACTATACTATTACTATTTTTGTAGGCCTACTTGTCATAGTCACCACAATGCAAAATATTACTATTTCCTTTAGGTCTCATCCAAGAGACAAAGCGACAGGACCAAACTTATTCTTCCATATCATGCCCACAATCCATTGGCCAAACAATGTTTCTTTATAAACAGTGCCGGCCTTCTTGCTGACCGTGATATCTACATTTTTTCATCCCTGCCTCTCATTGTGTTCAGAGGAGATAAGAATCTATGAGATCTTGTTCATAGCCCCCTCTGTGCTATCCCCTCCCACTTTGGGACAAAGCCATGTGGATGCAGCCATTGCCTAACTTGCCCTTTTGTCATTCAGACTCAACATATTCCTTTCCCTAATAAGGGTAGTTTTCAGATAAGAGATGATTTCATTTCCACCAGCCATACTATTAGCCATGCCCTTTTTTTATACCCACTGCCATATGGCTTATCTGGACCAGGCTGGAAAGCATCTGTCTGACAGATGTATTAAATACTTTCGAAATGTTGCGAAATATTGCGCATGATAAAAAGTGTCCTATCTCAAAAAAACTTCAACAGAAGCAAAAACAAGGGCTCCAGCAACTTGGCCATTGCTTCCTGTTCCAACCCACCCACCAGGGTGAACTTAGAGAACAAACTGATACAGACTCATGGACTTTGACACCACATGGCATGAATGTCATTTTCTCCTTCACTTGTTAAAGATTTTCTCCACATCCTCCTTTTAAACAACCAATCCCTGTGGATTTAAATTTCCTCTCATCCTTTCCCTATTGCCTATTTTAACTCTCTTACCTATTAATTGTCAACTAGATTTTTCTTTCTGTCTTCTCGCACAATTCATTTTAGCCAAGTGTTTATTTTAATTTATATATTTGTGATATTCGTTGTTTGGTCAATGAAGGAAGCTCCTTGACTACACGTTGTTTTATTAAGTCCTTCTTTCAAGTTTTCCCATACCTTGTTTCACATATAGGCTATCCTACTATACTTGTAATCTAAGTTTTAATGTTATGGGACAATGTACAAAGGAAGAATAGTTAACTGTTAATAGTATTGTTTCCAGTTACTATGATACCATGCCTATACTATAGCCTATAGCAATTATGGAAATTTAACACCACACAATAACAATAGGCCTACTTATTACACAGGGTGGGCCAAAAAAAGTGAGAACATCTCGTAAAATATTACGCTACGAAATGTTCTCACTTTTATTGGTCCACCCTGTATTAGTAGGCACAGTAAGAACTCTAGTAGTAGTAGTGGTAAGTTGTTGTGGTGGGTTAGTGTTTAAGTTGAAGTACCCAAATTAAGTACTTAGACTTAAGGAAGTGTTACAGTCACAGACTTCACTGAGTGTGTACTGACAGTAATCGCCCCCCCCCCCTTTTTTCGATCGCTTTCAATACATTACATGTGAAATGTACTTACCTGTCACACAATACAAGTATTAATCCAACAAAAACAAAAGCAATGCCCGTAATTATATTAGGCATTTTAAAATCGTTTCACTACAAATGAAATGCAACTAGACTACAAAATGAATTCCTAGTACTGCTAATGGAAAACACTGCAAGCTATAAATAGCGTTACACATCCTTGTGCCTTGTTGTAGTATAGTAAATTAAAATCGAGGGGGGGGGGGGGGGTTGTTTTTTAATTTAAAATATTCCTAGTACTGCTAATGGAAAACACTGCAAGCTATAAATAGCGTTACACATCCCTGTGCCTTGTTGTAGTATAGTAAATTAAAATCGAGGTGGGGGGGGGGTTATTATTTAATTGAAAATTCCTTGTAAATTAAGTGTTTAAATTAACTGTGCAAACAACATCTTTCGTAAATTATGAGAAAACCGACAACGAAATCTAGACTAGCTAATTCCAATCCATCTCAATTCGAGTTCTCTTAAATTTGTGATCGTCGACACTTTACCCTCGTGATACTTCTTTCTAACTAATGAATGCTAGAGAGAAAGACGTCATCAATTTGTTTAGCATACTAATATGTTAGCATATGAGTCAAATAAAAAAAAATTAAAAAGTAATCCGCAGACATAAAAGCTTGTTAAAAATATCGAATAAAATATGCGATGGTGCCCAAAGTCCAAAGTTTACTTTAAAACGATTTATTAAATTTTTGGTCGTTTAGAAATTAAATACATTTTTTAAAAAGAAATAAATATGCCAGGTTGGCAAACGAAAACAGTGACTTGGTGCGTACGATTGAGACTGGATTCTTTTTAAAAAAAGTGTGAGTGTGCCGTGCGGTTTGTGTCACCCGGTGCGGTAAACTCATGGTGTCACCCCCCCCCACTTTTTTTTTTTTTACCACCGACTTACACTATGGATTTCTCCTTGTTAAAATAAGTCCACAGTATAACAATGAAAAGAACAAAAATAAATTGAAGGCCAGGAGGTAAATGTATTTCAGAACTGTAACTAGTAACATGTACTTAGATTAGAATCGCCCGACCACATCGTATTTGGTATTAATGGAAAGCTACATTTATCATAATTTAGATAAATATAACTTTCGTCACTTACGAAAGTTACCGTTTTTCTTACCTAATTAAAGGGTTACCTCATTTCTGACGCATTAACCTTGAACTTTTAATAAAGCACGCATTTGGATTTGTTACACAGTGTGGGATATTTACGTATGCTCGGTTATAGTTTTATGCAATTCGGTTAGACCGAGCAGTGTGTGCTTTGTGAATATGCAACTTTTCAATCTGGTGTCACTCCTGAGATGGTGTCACCCAGAGGCGTAGCGAGGGTGTTTGGCGCCAGGGGACAAGATCCATTTTAAAGCGCCCCTTTTTCTTTTTTTCAATTCTCAAACCCATTGTTTTCATCAATAAAATAATATCAAAGCATATTTTGGCGCCCCCAACTAGCTGGCGCTTGGGGACATCTGTTCCCCTGCTCCCCCTCGCTACGCCTCTGGTGTCACCCGATGCGGTCCGCATCCCGGCAGCCCCCCCCCCCCAAAGCTACGCCACTGCGCCACTGTGTGCGTGCATGGTTGTGTCTGTATGTGTGAGTATATTAGTGTATGTGTGCAGTTGTTGAGTCTTGGCTTTAGACTTTAGAAAAAGAAAGTTGTTAGTTTGTTTTATTTTGACATTTTCGCAAAATTTTCTCCACATAATTATAACAATTAAGTTATACGTTGGAATTAAATTAAATGGTCAAAAAGAAATTTAATTGAACAAGACGAAGATGATTGAAGGGGAAAAAAAAAGTAAAATGTAAATAGTAAACGTAAAAGTGTAAAAGTAATTTGAAGTTGAGTTGACTAACGTCTCAGTTGTCTGTCTTGTTTTGTGCTATCATTATAAATATAAACCATCTGTACACATTTACCAGCATGCTTCCCCTAAAGTCACAAATCTTAATGAGAACTGTTTACTAATAAGTCCCTGATATACTGATATGGCTAAGAGAATTCACTGAATGGCCCATCAATGGCTCTCTCTCTCTTTTTTTATTATAAATGTCTTGTGTTCATTTTGTTTTATTAATGTGCTGAATATGTACAATGCAATAAAAAAAAAAAAACATCTCCATTTGTTTGGATCAATAAAAGAATCTTAATCTTAGCTCTTATCTAATGATGCCATGGCGACCATGGCCATGGTGGCTCAATTGTAGCAACGTATTTTCTGTTAAAATTAAGCCCAAGTCCAAGCAAACTGTTTCAGATTATCATACTCAATGATAATCAATACTTATAGGCCTACTTATAAATAATAATAAATTGACATGTAATGGTCACGAAAAAATAACAGAAGACGAGTCAAGTTGTGAGAACGAAAATGACTATGTCATGAATTGAGTCATAGTATAGTAGGTCCTATAGTCATATTTCATATACTATTTAAAATTTATATTATATTATATTTTATATATTCATTGAATATATTGTAGTATGACTTTGACCATGGCATATTTTAACTTATGCCTATGCTGGAAAAAAAAATTAAGGAAGACATCTGAATTTCTTATAAAAATTTGAATTATGTCTGCTGATATATGCTATATTATGTGTTATAACATGATATATAATTAATAAAATAAATACAAATTGAAGTTTAAGAAAGTAAATACGATAGATAAAAAGCTTACATCTTTATCATTATCGGCTCGTTGGTCTAGGGGTATGATTCTCGCTTAGGGTGCGAGAGGTCCCGGGTTCAAATCCCGGACGAGCCCAAAATTTTGTCAATTATAATTTTTTTTTTTGTTTGTTTTTTATTAAAATACCGGAAGTTAGTAATAATATAGTATAGCCAATATTGTCTCGTTTAATTATTTAGTATTATTTATTTTTAAAATTATTCTTCGGAAATTTATTAACCTTTCTTCCCAACATTAGTAAGCCTTGAGCGTAGTTTTAGTAAGTTTAATTTAGTTTGGATCCTATGCCTATACATTTTCTGTTACCGATAATATTAGAATTAGTATTAGTTATAGATATACAAGATATTATACATGTAGTAGTAAGTAGTGACATTGTCAATCATCAATGAAGGAATAAACATGTTACTAATTTTACATTTTAACTCGTTTAACTGGTTGCCTTTGTTTAAAGTTGTAGTACCTTGTCACATTGTCGTTCAGATTTTGTTATTGTACTTGTATCCAACTAACTTTAGAAATCTGTAACAAAAATTTGCATCAAGCAGCGCTAGGCATGCGGACCTGTGAAGGTCCACGGACCGCCATTTGGGGACCACTGCTTTAGACTAAATGCTATTCGGATGTCATTTGTGGTAGTTTATTTTAGTTAAACTGAAGAATTAATTATATGAACATATAGTCCATTCAATTATCTTTTATTTCATACCAAATTTTGTAGTACAAACCCTACAATAATATTTTACATATTTTTTTAATAAACCCAACATCTCACTCTTACTTCTGATACCGGGTCCGAATCAGGGCTGCCTACTCACTTTTTTAAAATTTCCCAAGATTTGGTCATGAAATTTCCCAAGATTTCCCAAGATCATAAAAGTATATACCGTAGGAGTTTTTTTTTTTAAATGTGTGGGGGGTGGGGAAAGGGGATTTCCTATGTCCTTAATGTAATAATAGATTGAATTAATGCCCCTGAAAGACACGGTACAATAATTGACTGAAATTTATTGAAAAAGACATTAAAAAAAATGTTTATCACATAAAAGAAATAAACAATTTGTTAAAAAAAATTATTTATATTATTTTATTATCCAAAATATCAACACCCACTGGAGTTAGGCTACTAAATGTTACCTCCTAATTCTCTGGTAAAAATCTCATCTACAATCCACGTGTAATAGAAGTCACTTGGAAACACAGCTCACAAGGCTAATCAACACACAATTCCTTTTACAAAGGCAAAAGGTTCTTCATCAAACATTGTTTTTTCTTATTGTAAGTCTGTTGATTAGTAATGGGGTTTGCAAAGTTATTAAGCAAAATTTGTTAATAATAATTGTAGTTAAAATGTATTGATAGTATTATGAAAGCAATAAGTATTTTTATTTTTTCTTGTAAATTTACATTATAATGGTTTTTGTTTAAACGAAATACTGTTTAAAGGAATTTTTCATTTATTTCCTACAATGTATAATTTTAATATCTTAGTTACCTGTGTGTCAATCCACAAATATTTTTTCCAATAGATGAAAATTAGGCTAGATTTTTTAAAGATGCATAATATTTTGAACACATTGAATAAGTAATTGAAATAATCCCATTTTACCATGGGTTCTTGATAGAACACTATCATTCACTCTTTGGTTTGTACTGTTGTTTTTATGGTTGCTAATGTCTTATACGCATGATAAAGTTTCCAAGCCTACCCCCCCCCTCCTGTTTAATAAACATTTAACACCTGGATGTAATTTGCAAATCTTTAAGTTAAAAAAAAAGAGAAAATTAAATTTTTCTTTAATTATTAACTTGTTGTTAATTTAAAATATTAACTTTAATTTCGGAAGAGTTCTTATTTATTTATAAATGGTTTTAAAAATTAAAACCAAAAAAGTAAATTTAAAAAAATAATTTTTGTCCTTGTTACTATAAAAATTCGTTTGCTTTATTTCACTTTATTTTTTATCACGTATATTGTTTGCGTTTTTCGAAAAATATAATAAAATCTTCCTCACAGTTAAGATTTCCCAAGGTTTTGCCTGATTTTCAAAATTATTCCCCAGATCCCAAGGGGGGTCGTGAATTCCCAAGATCTTGGGAAATTTCCCAAGGTGTGGTAGCCCTGGTCCGAATAGCCGCAGCCTATATTTTTTTAAAACCATAACAAAGGGAAAGCACTATAACAAATTTGCAAAACTCAAAATTATGGAAACAAAAGCAATGCATTTGTCGTTTGTTGTGTCGAGTAGACTGTCCACTGAAGAAAACTTTCTTGATTTTTAATTTTTAGTAAGAAATGTTCAAAATTCGAGTATACTCTCTGACTCTGGTAGGAAATTTATCTATTAAAAAAATTACACGCAAGTGTAAATTTAAAACATTTCATGCTTAGCGGTAATTAGTATAATAGTAATAGTATAACATATATTAGCCTATTATAGTACATAGTTACATAGGATG